ATTCACCCTTACATCAGCAGGTGGAATGCAAAGCAGTCTGTTTGAAGGTTGTGTGCACTGAGAAGCGTGCGTAGGTGGAGCGGGCCAGCGGGGGAAGACCCGCGACTGCTGCCCGGGGTTCCTCCCCCTCATCTGTCTCTCCCCTCCTCCCTTCCTCATTCTAGTCCTGTCAGTCACCCTTGGCAACGGTCTGAGGCAGCACAGCTGATGGGGAAACTCTTTCCAGAGCCACCAGGATTGGCAATCCTTCTTACTGACCAGATGTACATTGTGTTTCCTTGGAAAAGCTGAAATGATTTGATTTGATTTGACTTAATCTAATAGCTCATAACCAGAAAAACGAATTTTCCATCAGAGCCAGAAGGGGAACCCATGATGGAAAAATTAATAATAAAGGTCTTCATTACGTCTCCTGAGTTATGAAAGAGCAACCTTTGAGCAATCAGATATTCCTCTGGAAAAGGAAGGGGAAAACACTTGAATATATAAACTCTTGCAGATACAAAGCAGCAGTTTGACTTGACACAAGGCGACAGCTTGTACAAACAGCACAAAGCTTTAGAAAGTATTGTTCCTAAAAATAGTTTTAAAAGGCATTGTAAAGGCAAATAATATGTGAACAGCTAATATTAGATCACTAGAACAGGCTTGTAACCTCAGTATTTTTATCTTGCGTGAGAATCACTCACCGCACCTCTGTCTAGTCAATGTTGTGTTCTGAGTCCAGCTTTTCTGGTGAAATGGGTTGGAAATGCAACTTAATAGGTGAGATAGTGAAAGAGGCTGGGTGATTTACTGCGGTAATTTAATTTGTTGCAATGTTGCATGTTTTCTTTTAGTATAGTACTTTACCTGTAAACGGAGCTTGCAGAGCTAGTTTATACAGCATTCTTTAAATTTTAAAAGGAGTGTACATGGAATATTTGAACACTGTCACACTGCAGGACTATTTAAGTGCACTGCCAGCTAACAAGTTACAAATACAGGAAGAGAGAAGCATGCCACAATGCACAATACAGGGGAATCTCTCAGCAACATGAAACTAACTACTACAAACACCCACTACTTCCTTAATGTTATTGACATTTCTGTAATTCTGCTGACATTTTTACCTGCATGGTGTAGGATGACATAAAAATTACCATCTAAAGATACACATGACTCTATGCACTCGTGGGAGCTGCCAAGTGTAATATTAGAATAGTAGAGCAAACAGCATTCAGCTTCAAATATATTTATTTAGCAATAAGGAGCAGCTGACTGTACATTATACAGAATGTTATACTGCTAAATAAATAAATAAAGGACATAATGTGAGTTTATTTATGTAATATTATTAAATATTGGTTGTCTGGGCATTCATAATAAAAAATGACCTGAGAGCCTTGTGATCAATAATGATATCCAATTGAACCCTCATCTATAATGGAAAAAAACAAACAAATTATCCACCTGGGCTAATGGACACGTTGGCATGAATTAATGTGCATCTTTATTGTATAAATGACAGGCAGCTGTTTCTGAAAAATGAAAACAGTTTATAGTCTAAAAGTGTGATGTTATGGTTTGCATCTTGTTTTTGTGGGTGGTCTCAAAAACGGTGTACTTTGAGCCAAGCCACAAAGAGCCCTTAGCGCTGTGTTTTACTGGACTAAGTGTTTGGTGAAGCAGAGATTTGTCTCCCTCCATAAAACAGAGAACTATGCATGCAAATAAGTGAGAGGAAGCCCAGAATCAAATTACCACGCTTCTGTGCTCAACCCAAACAATTAGAGATTCAGAAAGACAGAGACCGACAGCGAGAGAGAGAGACCAAGACCAGCAGCCAGCAGCAGTTGTAAACTGCAGCAACTGACTGTTAAAACTGGTGTGAAGCAAGACTGTCAGTATCAAATATGACCATCCTGTTTGTGTCATGCTTATTGTCATTTGGTTGAACATCATGAAAAACTGTCATAATTCACGCCAAACACGTAAGACTAAAAATCAACATAAATAAGAAGTGTTAAACAAGACAAATAGTGTTCTGTTTAATTTCATGACAAAAAGGGTGCGATTAATCAAGATTAAAAATTGTAATCTATTGACAGCGGCCCACTAAGAGTTTTTGCATTGTGACATTATTTTCATGACAATTAAACCAAACCTGCTAATTGTCTATAGCGTATTGAAATGCAAAAAAAAAATCGAATTCGTATTACAGCAGTATGAAAAATATATATTATATAAAAATATATATTATAATAAGTAATAATAATAATAATTATATAAGTATACATCACAAAAGTAACAATGGTACTGAATTAAATTCATTCTGATTTTACATAATGATTTTCTTATCAGAAATCATTTTTTTATTGTATTACAGTAATGAAAAACGATATTTTTCCACAATGTTTTTTATGAGAAAAAGAATTTTGGTGTGGGCGGGGGGGGTGTACTTATTTCATCTAATTTATGCTAATTGTAATTTATTTTTGTTTTCTTTTGATTTCAGGTCAGTATATTAATGATCATGACATTTCTCCATGAGATATATCCATTTTAATTTAAATCCGCAACTTAGAGCAGAAAAATCAGATTTGAAGATGTGTAGTTTCATTTAATTTGTGACTCAATGGTCGTTCAATTTGAAAACATGCAATTCAGATGATTATTTGCTAGAGAACCTCGACTTTTTCCTCGACTTGATTTAAAAATACATAAGTGTGACATTTAAAACATACGCTTCTTCTGTCATAGCAAAATGATTGATAAGACTGCAGTGTGTATGTAAAATAGTCTGTCATTCACCGGCTAGCTTCCGCTGTTGACAGAAAAGTATTGCTTCTGTTTTCCCAACTTTCTCTCTCTCTTTCTCACACACACACACATTCACCCTTCCACATATACACGGAATAGGCCACACAAACAAAGTTCCTAGGCAACGACACTAACCTTTTGAGGGAATTAACTGAGAACGGTGTGACCCTTTGTTAGCTCACATCACATGAGAGGAGTGGGTGTACGGGCTTCATTCTCGCTGCCTTTTCCGTCGCATCAGAGTTTCTGAGCTCTATCATTCGAGGAAGAACATAAACTACCTTTAAAGTGGATTGTACCATTGTTCTCATGCTAACAAACTTTCATAAGAGGTTAGGTTATAGTACTCCTCCTATTGTTCAGACTAGAGCTTTGCATATGTTTGTTTGTTGGTTTTAAATATGTGGCTAGTTTTCTGTGTTCACAGACACACGCAGAGTCACTGTTATGAAACTTTTACTTCTGCTACTATTATTAGTTGCTAAAAAATAGACATAGACTTGCTTTAAATAGGTCACCCATTTCTTCTCCATCAAAGCTGTTTGCCTTATGTTCAAAAGTCTGAAGACACCTAAATGAATGTGCACAGGAAGAAAAACGTTAGCCTGGGACTAGCATACTGATGATCTCCCTAGACTGCCTTTTTCTTAATGAGAGTGCTGATCCATTTTCCATTACAGATGAGACCCAGAAGCATGAGGTTTCTATATAATACACACACACATAAAGAGATATTGTGTCTCATTTAGCCCCAGGTTCTCGAATCAATGCTATATACTCACTGACAATCTTGTCAGCTGACAGTCAATATGTTTTGAATGTTGTGCATAGTTGTACTCTTTATTCTTTCAGCAAATAAAATAGTAATATGTGAATATCAAACTCGTTTCTATCAGCTTTCCACTGGTGTCATACACAGAACACAAGATGATTCTTTTCACTGGGAACACAACCTTTTTGTTAGTCATGTGACCTCTGAGCAGAGTTGTGTTTTCTGCTCGCATAGTTTTGGTTTCTTGAGTAAGTCGCAGTGACGTCACTATGTAAATGGATGATTGATGATGTGACGTGCTGTTTTACATAGTCAGGCTGGCATACATAATAGTGTCTAAACCAGTGTTTGTATTTTTAATGCATAAATAATAATGCTTACATTTGAAAACAATAAAAGATGTTTTTGAAAGAAATCTGTTATGCTCACCCAGGCTGCATTTGTTTTGATCAAAAATACAGTAAAAACAGTAATGTTGTGTACAGTTATTTACATTTAAAATAACTGTTTTCTATTTGAATATATTTTAGAATGTCATTTATTCCCGTTATGCGAAACTGAATTTTCAGCATCATTAGTGTCACATGATCCTTCAGAAATCATTCTAATATGCTGATTCGATGCTCAAGGAACATTTCTTATTATTACAATATAGTTGTGGCAACCATGATGCATCTTTTTCATATTTCTTTGGTGAATAGAAAGTTCAAAAGTACAACATTTATTTGAAACTGATTCTATTATTAATATTATGTAACAACTGTAATGTAATGCTTTCCTGCTAAATAAAAGTATTTGTTTCTTTCAAATAAAATCTTACCGACTCTAAACAATATATATGTATATATATATATATTTACAACAGTAGTGTATAGAAATATATGCTGTAATTTAAATCTGTGCAGCATCCAGAATTTTTAACATATTCTTCTTTTATATATCCAGAATGCAGAATTCTTGTATGGTGTGACTACACAGGACATATTTTTCTGTTCATGCAATAATTTCAGACACATTGTCTTTGCTCAGCCTGAAAGAATAAACAACATTTTGGACATCAGAAAGGCAAAAAGTGAACTTGTTACTTTCTTTTATAAAACGGTTCTCCGTGGACTATTTTATTATCACATAGTATTAGAATATTCACACAAAAATGCAACAGTGATTCATTTTGTCTGTCATTGTCAAAGCATTTATGGATTGTGCCACAGGGTGTGTTACGAGAATGACAACAATGTACATGCTTTGTATTTTGCATAATTGTGTCTAGGCCTAAAACTTTTCTCTCACCATCAGTATCTTAATGGCATTTGGTTATATTATGGGTTTTCCTTTCACTTTAAGTGCATAAAAACATCTTAATGCATAAATGTGAAGATGGATATGACTTTCATTTGTGTGTTTTCCTCTCACCAACCTCTTTCAGTGTTATTCAGAGGCTCTGGCGTGATGTCAGGCCCGGGCGAGTCAGATGACAGAGAGCTGAGGCCGGTAGACTTCATCCAGCTTCAGCAGTACATTGACTGTAAGTCTGTGATGCCCACACATCCCTCCCACTCTCACTAAACGCTCGGCCTCATTACAAACCATGACTCACTCTCAGTCCTTAAGTGCGAAATGACGCTTTATTCTCAGGGTCGAAAAAACATGCCAGTCGTGTGCATCCAAGACATCTGTGAGCCCAGTTTACTTAGTTTTACATGCATGCATTTGCTTAAGTATTTTATACATGGACAACTAGTGTTGGGAAAGACTGACTGATTGACATCATTTAGATTTTGATGATGTCACTAAAATGATGTGATTACGAAAAACAAAAAGATGAAATGAAAATTATTTTTCTGGTTACACTTTATTTTAAGGTGTCCTTGTTACTGTGTAATTGTAGAATAAAGTACTGACTAATATTAATTAACAACATGTACTTAATATAGGTTTAGGGATAGGTATAGGGTTTGGTTTAAGGTTGCTTGCATGTGATTATGCTTAATTTACTGTTATTACTATAATATAAGTACATGTAGCGTGTAACAAGGACACCATGTTATCACTCTTCCCACTAACATCTCTAATTTAATGGACCCTGAAAAGTGTCATGTGTTGATGTTATAGAATAATTCGGTATTATTATGTAGTAGTATTCTTAATAATGCACAATGATCATTGTTACTACACTGTAAGAAAGGATTTGATGTAAATAAAACAAATTATTGGAGTACATTTTACAAGAAAATATGTTTCTGTTTTTTCTACTTCAAAATGTCTTGTTTAATACAGAGTGTTAGTTGCCGTTTCTTTCAAAATGTTTGTAAACACCAAGTATTTTTCAATGCATACAATATATTTTCATGTCCTTATCATATAGGCTATGTTTTATTATATTGGATAATATATTAAAATCACAAATATTTTGCTTAATATTAAGCGACATTACAAGCTTTTAGAATGAAAAACTAGCACTTTTTAAGAAATAAAAGTGTTTCTGTACTTCATTTGATCATGGGTTCAGTTCCCAGAGAAAACACAAATTGTCAAAAAAAAATTACACAGTATATATATATATCTTGGACAAATTATGCCTTAACGCTTTGAATAAAAGCATCATCTGGTAAATGCTTAAGTGTAAATGTAAATAAAATATTCCAGTTGTTTCTTCATGGATATTGATCCATTTAATTCCTTAAAAAACACTTCAGAATGAATTGTGCACTGGTAAAGCATATACTATAATATATTTAGGATTTAAATTTAGCATAAAAATCTAAATTACACATTTTATTTGCAATTTAAAATCATTTTGTCAAAATACATAGGGCCATCATAAATCCTTGTCCTGGCTGGGATTTGTAAATTGCTTAAAATGTCATTCTTGCTGAAGATAATAACTGAAAAGTAGTTTGACCAACATCATGCAGGCATTATTCATAACTGACCAATCATGGCAAGAAGGTGGGATTTACAGAAAACAGTCAAAGCAACGCAAAACTGCATTCATATAACATATGAGGACTGGAGAGAGCACATCAATAGGAAAACAAAGCCAAAACCTGGACATTTTAGGCAATTCAGAAATCCCAGCCAGGACATGTCCATGAATAAGAGGATATATGGTCCCCCTATTTTGAACGGCTGTCAATGGAGAAAGACATTTTTAATTTCCTGTAATTGCAGTATCTGACCAGCAGGGGCTAACAAGGTCATGCTAAGCAGCCACACCTTGACCCCTTGCTTGCTCCATCCATGTGTCTCATGCATGATTGAGGGATTTTTATACAGTAAGGTTTTGTAGATACTTGCCCTAAGTGTGTACTGAGTTCTCGCTAAGCCTGTTTTTCATGCAGAGTTGATGCAGATAGATACAGTTCATTATAAGGTGTGATGTCTGTGGTTCTTTGTGCCAAAATGTCATCTTGTCTTTTTTTTTTTCTCTTTCTCTCTTTCTTTGCTTCCTCCCACTCGCCCTGTCTATCTCTTTGCAGACTGCAGTCTAAAAGTAAAAGATGTGTTAAAGGAATTCAATGCAGATGGCAGGTTAGCCAAGTACAGACACGGAGAGGTGAGTGAACAGACTGCCAGGGGCCAACTGTCAGCACTCTGCTTTTACAGCATCTTAGTCCAATTACCCATGAACAGATCCATCCATCTCTGTAATGTGAATCACTTCACGTCTGGTTAAGCATATCTGAGCTCATCCGCTGGACGATTCATGTAACGTGTACCTGCTTAGTCAGTGAGTGCCGTGTGTACCGATTTTAGCAGCGTGTCCCACACAAAGCTCACTGCCATTATGTGAAGCTGTAGTGGGTGGTTGCCAGGACATTTTCTCTGCAGTTCCTATTCTCTGTGGTTTTTTTAGAGCATTGCTACGCATTTACTAGGGTATTCTGGTGACCCGAGCCAAAACAGCTGATCCCCAAGTATTTATGATGCAAATCAAAGGGATTTTTCAAACTGTTTGATCAGCTTGCAGGCAAAAATTGTCTAAGAGCACATCTCTTCAACAAGCTGCATGATTTAACCCTATAAAGCCTACTGTATCATGTTTGATATATGAATTTCTAAGGCCTCTAAAATGATCAAAACTTTGCTGAAAACCTGTTGTATACAATCGTCTACATGCCTTACAGAATATGTGCTTTATAAGTACTAATAAAAAGCCAATATGTAATTAATAGGCATGATAATAAGCAATTAGTTAATAGTGAGAATTGGTCCCTATACTGAAGTGTAACTGTTATTTTATATTTCAGCACAATATTTCATATTTTATTAAAAAGTAAAAGGCCTTTCAATATAATACTCCATGTCCACATGATGACTTTTATAAGGTTAATAAAATGTAAAAATAACTTTTATATTGTGAGTAATATTTCAGGATGAACATTTACTGGACTGAAGCAATATTTTATTTATTTATTTATTTTTTAAATCATGTTAAAATGTAAATATAAAAATAATACAACAGGCTTTTGAAGAATGTTTATTTGTACATAAGTTAATTTGTATCTCAATAATCATTGTTTTGCATTGCATATGTTTTGCCCTCCCCAACTGATATGTACAGTATATGCATTTTAAGTAGTCTGTTATACTGTTACAAAGATCTTACTGGTTTACATCACAAGCTATCAGAATTTTATCACAAAAGCCTGATGTATGAAATATGATGCAAAACATAAAATACATGTAAAAATGACATGTATATTAAAATCTAAAATGATATATATTAGATTTGAGAAAGGTTCGATAAACTGTTCCATTAAAAGGTTAACTTTACAAAGTTAACTGCTTCCAAACGCAATTGTAATAGTTAAACAACAGGAAGTTCAGTGTAAAATGGAAAGAGATTGCTCTGAAGTCGTGGTATTATAGCTCTTAAAAGATTTGCTATTCAGACATGCTCATGTTGCAAAGATTTAGTCCGTATACCTGATATGTGCAGTGTGCACTAGTTTTTCAGCTGACTGTGTGCTGACTTGGCTCTCAAACACTTTAAATCAATGCTTCAAGAGTTTTGTTTCAGTCATTTTTGTGTTTGTCTTACTCTAAGCTTTATATTTTGCTTGTGTTGGGTGACTAAAGCAAAATAAACAACAAATTATGTCATGGAAGTCTTATATATGTTAGTATGGGAGGAGTATCTGACTGTAACCTATCTTATATATCTCGGTTTTACTCCAGATACTCCAGATAGAACAGCAGTATCCTGAGGCCTTTGAAGTTTGAATACAACTTGCTGGGGTTTTTTTTTTTTTTTTTTTTTCATATTATCTCTTTTAAAAACTAGGACAGAAACAGCAGGCACTGTTAGTAGAACTAGGATTAGGTTTGTAGTGCAGAATCTAATTGGATCTCTGTTACATCCCCTTGAGAAGGTTCCAGATAATTTTATGAATTTATTAGTTTGCAATAATGTGTACTTTCTGAATGATCACCAAAATAGATGTTATTAAAAAGCCCAATGATATATTCCAAAAACTAAGTGTGATAGTGGTTTGTTTGTGCGTGTATTTTGTGTTCTTTGAATGCGTAGCAGCCTTTAATGCACCACACTCATCCGTTATTGTACAAAATGATTTGTCTTTAGTGCATTGATGAGGAAGGTTTCCGCCTCTTCCTGAAGACATATTTGGAGGTGGAGGACTTCCCAACGGATCTGTGCCAGCGGCTGTTCAGATCCTTCCAGAACTCAGAGTCAGCAAAATCAGATGAAAACAGTGGGTCATGTATATGCTTGTATATGTATATGTGTACACATACATACATACATACATACACTACCGTTCAAAAGTGTTTTTTTTTTAATGGAATTAATGCTTAAAAATGACAGTAAAGACATTTATAATGACCTAAGATATATGTCAAATAAATGCTGTTGTTTTAAACTTTCTATTCATGAAAGAATCCTGTCATTAAGTATAATGGTTTACGCAAAAAATATTAAGCAGCACAACTGTTTTCAACATTAATTTTAAAAATGGTTATTTTAAATTGTAATAATATTTATTTTTTACTGTATTTTTGACCAAATAAATGCAGCTTTGGATGAGAGACTGCTTTCAAAAGTATCAAAAAATATGACTGACTCCAACATTTTGAACGATAGTGTACATGTATGGGTCCCATGTATAAGCAAATCTGTAAGTGAATCAACAAATTTAGTTACATTACTGGGAATCATATTTATTTATTTGAACCCTTTTATCAATGTTTGATTTTTATTTTTTAAAGGCACTTTTTGAGTTCAATACAAGTTAAGCTGGATTGATACAATTCTGTCAAACAATTGACTAAAAACAACAAAAAACTCAAAGTCAGGATTTATTATTTTGCTCTATAAAACAATTATTTATTTTTAATAACCTTTTTTAATAATTATTATTATTTATTTTTTTTAAAAGCAATGTTTCAAACAATGAAACTAAAGGATTTCTTATGTTCTTTGTTTTCTCTCTTAGGGGAAGTCTTTCTGAAGGATGTGTCCTGTTATTTCTCTCTCCTGGAAGACGGGCAGCCCAGGGACAAACTTGAATGTAAATCTCAATTTTTTGCCACTTCGAATATCTATAATGATTGTTGCCATCTTTGCAGTACGTCTCCATGTTTTTCCCTTCACAGTTGCCTTCAGGCTCTATGACAGAGATGGCAACGGTGTCCTGGACAGTTCGGTGGGTGGTCTTAGCCTGAAATATAATCTACTTCCAATTCCTCATTATGTTGCAAAACTGAATCATCATGCTCAAATTACATCTTTCGGTAATATCTATAACTAGTCATGTTTCTGAAAAACAGGAAGTGGACCGCATTATTGCCCAGATGATGCACGCAGCAGATTACCTCGGTTGGGATGTGTCTGAACTGAGGCCTGTGAGTTGTGTTTTGTTTGTGTGTGTGTAATACTTGCTGAGAAGAAGTGAAATGCCTATGCGTTCGACAAGTTATTTTCCATCTTATCCACACCTTGCTGAAGAGACATTCCTCCTCATTTGGCATGAATCAACTTGTCATGGGGCAAAATAAGGAAGGGAAAAAATGAATCTGACAAGATCGTTTGCATAATGTTGCTCCTTCTGATTCAAATGAAGTGATGATTTAGTTACATCATATACAGGTTACAACAGAAACACATTAATACAAAAGCATATACTTTCTCATTGCACAATGTGCTTGTTCTCAGGTGCTGAAGGATATGATGACAGCGATTGATGCAGATAGCAGTGGAACGGTGTCGTTACAGGAATGGGTGGAGGGGGGAATGAATAACGTCCCGCTGCTGGTTTTACTGGGACTTAAGGTAGGAAAACACAAGCATAGATTCTCACAGTTTCAGATGCAGAGAGCTGCTATTTTTGGAGTGTACAAGACTGTATCTCAGATTACACTGCTCAGAAGCAAAAAGAAACAAAAAAGAAAACATTAAAATTAGTAGATGTATGTATTTATTGCGCTCTGTCCTTCTGAGGACACTTTAGTTTCTCTTGTCTGGCTCAACCTCAATATAGCATACCAAAAGCCTGCTGACTTTGCACTAGTGCAAGCAACAGTGACACTTCCAACACATGCTTGCACGCACACGCATAATAAGTACAACCAAAAGTATATTACCATTTTGTTTAATTAATTAATTTTTTAAATATGTTTATTTTATTGTTTTATTTTATTTTTACCTTGGATAAATTTTACAATTTTATTTTATCATCATATAAGAATGATTTCACATGATTATTTTATTTTATTATATATACAGTATATATATATATGTATGTCCCATGCAAATCTGTGGTAGATTTGGTTACATTACTGGGAATCATGTAATTTATTTAAACACTGGCACAAGCAATAGTGATTCTTCTAACATATGCTCACATGCATGCACATGCTTATATGCACGGCCAATATATAATTATTATTTACATTTTTATTTGTTTAATTTTCATTTTATTTTAATATTATTTTACATTTTTATTTTTAACAAGCACACATGGATGTGGTGCTCAAGTGTAAGGTCCACGCACTTGGCCCAATGAAGGTATCCAGTGGTGGATGAAGGTTTCTTGCGTGTTCGGTCTTTTCAGCGCGCAAAGTTATTCAATTTAGGTTTAACTCAAATCTGACTCCATTTTATTATCTAATCTGACTCCATTCTAGTATGACCTCGAATTTAGGTTGAAAGGCAAATTGGTTGTTTGTGATCACAACCTAGCCAGTCTGATCCTTAGCCAGAGGTTTGTGACTAATACTATTTAATATGCTTTAAATAGTTGGTCTGTTTAGCCCCCTACAGTTACCCATGTAATGCTCAAAACATTAATCAGCGGTTCTGCTAGAACCCCTTGCCTAGCCCCCGATAGTTAATATAACTACGTACAACTTAATTAAAGCTCAAAACTCAGCGGTTCTGCTAGAACCCCTTGTCTAGCCCCCGATAGTTAATATTACTATTAATGCACTGTGTGTGTATTGTCTGTCTCAGAAGATCAAAGTATCTGAGTTTCTTTTATCCTTACACAAGTGTCCACACACTAATGCCGGTATAGTCATGATGGGTGGACCAGATTCAAAACTTTAAGAATTTGTCAGTGGTAAACCCATATAGATTTTCGATTAATCTAAATTTTGTGTCTGTGGTGGTTCACAACCAGGAGGCATGTATATACCAGTAGAAAGATGCAAATAGAATTTTTGCAAACCAGATATCCCTTGCATCTCATTAGCACGTCATGCATAAGATCTACTTTACATGACATCTCATTAAAATAAGCATGCATCTGAAGAAGGCATGCGTTCAGAATATCCCTGACATGCATCTATTCACACAAGCCACTTCAAAATGCAAGCTCAAGCTAGCATACTGCAAGTAACACTAGATCAGTAGCTGGATTCACACTCCTCCGGAGGGGGAACATAAGCTATCTAAACTCCTAAGACTCTTGTGTCTGTCTATACTGTGCTAGTGCATGACCTGGAGACAAGCCACAGAGTTAACAGCAACTTTTTTTCCATGACTAATTACAGCTACATATAATGAAAAGCAAAGTTCAACCTTTAAATGCTAAGCCAGTGCCACTTTCACAACAGAAATGTGCATTTAGCACTAATAAGCATGGTTCACAGTTAAACCACATAGGCAAAGTCACTGCAGAATTTACAACTACAAGATGTTCGTTGTTACCACCAGCGGTCACAGTCCGTTACAGCAAATGTAGTTTGTGCCGTCATGTAGATTATTTTAATCACATGAATCTAGTCAGCCTAAACTTACATTCCTGTCTTGCATTTGTGAGCCAGAGCTTTGTATCATGGTTATGCTTAACCATGTATCAAAGCCAGGGACTTCCCCGTGTGCTATTTCCACCTGCCCAAGTGGCACAAGGGGCTATGCTGAGCCATCAGGCCCAGTTACAGCATGGCTGTGTGGGATACAGTTTATGACCTCCTGTTCGGCCGCCTGAAGTTCCCGCCTGAGTCATCCAAACCAATAATATTCTGAATTATTTATAATTCTCTGATGTGACTGCGTGAGTCATTGTCCTCAGCCCACCCTAACCACCTCCAGCCGGCCGTTGAATTAATAAAAAATAGCCAGTAGGTGTAAGATAAGGAAGCAATGTGAAATAAACAAGAAAACGGCGCTCTTGTGAGTCACTGAGGGTGGTTCAAAAACACTTTCCACTGATTTGTATTTTATTTACGCTTGTGTCGTCATCTGTTTCTTTATTAGATGAGTACATTTCATCTTATTTATTAAAGGTGTTTGTCCAAAACAAAAAATTATGTCATCATTTATCACCCTAATGTTGTTCCAAACCTGTTTGCTGTTATTTTTTGTGTGAAGCACAGGTGGAGAATTTCTGGTGAATCTTCACGCATGTTTTTTACCTATTACAACAGAGGCCATAGAGGTTTTTTAACCTTCAAAAATGTAACCAAAAAGTAGTTCACGTTACTTGGCTGATATATTTTAAGTCATACAATATCATTGTGTGATGATTCACTGCTAAACTTTCCCTCCAGTAAACTGTAACAGAGTCAGTGAGTTGAACTTAACAACCAAAGCTGTGAATGAATGAGCCGATTCTTTTAATTGAACCAATTGATCCAGTTCAAAAATCAAACTGATTTGTTCATAAATCACACATGGTTCATGAATTGTGGTGCAGTCACATTAGCAGAATTTATTGTGTAAATAGTTGATCATATAGCGATATATGAAGCGCAGCACACACAGAAGTCACTTTCAAACCAAGGAGATTTTTGTTTGTCAATGCAGCTAATTATTACACGACTAACTTGAACCCTTCGCAAAAAGGGGAAGTCTTTCATCCTAATGCGAAATTTCCAATTGTGTGGGAATAAAAGGCCTATTGAAATGTTCCTGTGAATATTCACTGCCTGACCATACCTTTAATGATTCGTTCATGCTTTGTTCATGACAAAATTTTAAATTTTGGATGAACTATCCCTTTAAGACAATAATTTGAACTCATGTCCTTTTGTAGTGAGGCTATATATCTGTTTCTTTACCTTTTTTACTTTGTTTTACTACATGTAAGCCTCTGGTTATAGGCAGATTAAAGGAATGTGATTCTTGACTTCATTGGAACATGTATTGAATGACATGTTACATTTTACAGAATCAGATTATAAAGAAAAAAATGTTTTCTAACATGATGTTTTTCTGCTTGCCCAAGATGACCCAAAGAGACGGCCAGCACCTGTGGAGGATGAAACATTTCAACAAGCCTGTGTACTGCAACGTCTGTCAGAATATGCTTCTGGGGCTGCGCAAACAGGGTCTCTGCTGCACCTGTGAGTGGAATTCTGGGTAATTTACAAGAAAGGTTCACAGATTGCTTTGCAAATGTAATCAATATTTCCAGACTGCCAATGAAATGTTTCATTTTAGCAATGAAGATGCTAAACTTCTCAAGATATATCCCAGAAATCCAGTGTGCTAACTTATATTGTGGTTTATCTACCTAGTAGCTATATAGTTATGCATAACCTTGCAAACCCATATGTTTAATTCTGATTCAGTTCAGGTGTCACAATCATTTGCTGTCATACACAGGCTGCAAATTCACAGTCCATGGCCGGTGTGCAAATAAAAACCCGGCTCCGTGCACCCGCACATATGTGATGTCAAAGAAAGAGACTGGGGTAAGAACACCTTTATTTCTTTTTTAATTTTTTTTTATTAAATTTAAAACCAATACAAATAAATCCCATCCCAGAATTGCATGGCATAATAAGTGTAATAATGTAAAAAGTAATATGCATAAAGCATAAAAAATGCTATTAAATGCTACCTTAAAGGGTTAGTTCACCCAAAAATGAAAATTCTGTCATTAATTACTCACCCTCGTGTTGTTTCAAACCTGTAAGACCTTCGTTCATCTTCGGAACACAATTTAAGATATTTTTGGTGAAATCTGAGGGCTCTCTGACCCTCCCATAGACAGCAAGGTAACTACCACGTTCAAGGTCCAGAAAAGTACCAAGATGATCGACAAAGTAGTCCGTGTGACATCAGTAAATGTGGAATAAAGTTGTTATTTTTGTTTTCTTTGTGCAAAAAAGTATTCTCGTAGCTTTGTAACTTTACAGTTGAACCACTGATGTCACACAGACTACTTTGTCGATCATCTTGGTACTTTTCTGGACCTTGAACGTGGTAGTTACCTTGCTGTCTATAGGAGGGTCAGAGAGCTCTCAGATTTCATCAAAAATATCTTAAATTGTGTTCCGAAGATGAACAAAGGTCTTACGGGTTTGGAACAACACGAGGGTGAGTAATTAACGACAGAATTTTCATTTTTGGGTGAACTAACCCTTTAAAACAGCTTTTAATGCTACCTGTATATGTTATATATTATTTATAAAATTGTATTTTAAAAAGTTAATACCTTTACAGAATAAGAATTAAAGAAAAAAAGGAACAAAAATTAATTAAAAGAACATATTTCAATAAGTACATCTTCTTCAAATAGTCTAAACATCTTCTTTAAATAGTCTAAAAATAGGCTACATGTATTAAAAAATATCAGTTTATTTCTTATTGTCCCAGGTTCTGTGATGAAGGTGTCTCACTAAGGACAATTATTCTATTGTATATCTGACTTATTGGGCCCAGGGCAGACAGAGCCCACATTAAGCATCTTCTATAAGCTTTTTTCTTTAGTACTGCCACCAAGTGGACACTGGAAATGTAAATAGCATATGTGCATCTAATTTGTTTGCATGCAGATTGCGGCCCATGACTGGGTGAGTGGAAACTGTGATTCTGGGAAGTGTGACCGGTGTCAGAAGAAGATAAAGAGCTTGCATGGCCTCACTGGGAAACGATGTGTCTGGTGTCACACCATGGTGAGACTGAGAATTTCTGAAAAGCTACAATATACAGTTGCCAAAAATCTTTATATAATAATAGATTAAAGTGCACTGTACATAGCAGCATTGGGTAAAAAAAGAAATGCACTTAAAAATTACCGTTGATAAAATATCACAAATGAAGCAGGTCAATTTGTCAGTTTCACACTGGTTCATAATTTTTCATTACTTGATCTTTACTGTCATATTTTAGAGACATGATGAGTGTGCAACCCAGGAACCCTTTGAATGTGATTGTGGCCCTTTCAGAGATCATATCTTACCACCGTGGGCCATTTATCCCGTCATCAAGGTAATGCAAATTAAAGTCCGCAAATTAAAGACTTAATTCCATGGATTCAAGTCTCAGGATTTGCATCTGTTTGCATCTGCTTATATAGAAGACAAAAGCACAGATTAATTGGATTAATTATATCTTCTGTTCTTTGTTTCCTCACTTAGGAGAGGCAGAACTGCATAAAGAATGGCTGTGCATTTGCAAGTGATGACAGTGAGCACAACACTACACCTGATGGACAGGTACTACAGGTAAGACACGGCCTGGACTGTTTCAGCTTTCCCAGGCAGAGACAAGAGATACTGAATGAAACGAACACACAACTTTCTGTACCCAAACAGATAAACCCAATTCCTGACACTCATCCTCTTTTGGTGTTTGTAAATCCTAAAAGTGGCGGTAAACAGGGGGAGAGGTGAGAACACTTCCTTCCATCCATCAGTTGTTGTCTAATTGCCTGTGTGTCTTCGATATGACTATTTTAAATCATACGTTTTACTCACAAAATGTGCGTTCTTACAGAGTCCTTCGGAAATTCCAGTACTTGTTGAATCCTCGGCAGGTTTATAACCTTTCCAATGGTGGACCAGGACCAGGGTAAGGATTTCACTACCATTTCTTCATGTCTTTATTCGTGCCCTGGATCCACTTGACTGAATTTGTGGACAACAAAACTATTAAAAATTTATTAAGATTGAAAAACGCATGGTGTATGATCCACATTTTGCATTTCATAGATGTGGGTGGTGATATATTGGGTTTAATACTTTAACAGAAGCTTGTAAAAAAAAATTTTTAATATATATGATGTTTTATTTCCAAACCAGGTTATGTTTCTTCAGAGATCTGCCGGACTATAGAATATTAGTTTGTGGAGGTGACGGCACAGTTGGCTGGATCCTTGACGCTATAGGTTGGAAACTAAATCAAACATACATTGTGTGATGCTCAAAGCAAAACCAAAGAGGATATGTATGTTTAGCTCTCATTTCACTTTCAACCAAATGTTCTTTTCAATTCCTCATGAAGATAAAGCCAACCTGCCAATGCGCCCCCCGGTGGCCGTACTTCCTCTTGGCACAGGAAATGATCTTGCACGCTGTCTTCGATGGGGAGGAGGTGAGGGCAAAAGCTGAACTTGAAACTTGAACATGTGCATTTATGTATATATTTAGTGTTTTTCACTCACACACACGCACACACACACACACACACACACACACATATATATATATATATATATATATATATATACACACAAAATCCATCACCTAATTTTAATATTTATGATATTATACAATAACTCAGTCTTGGCCTTTTATAATTATGTGATGTTTGTAAACGGGGTGTATGTCTAATGTTCATTACAATGCACAGCAGAACAGTGGATTTGATGTAAATTATTTATATGAAACATTCAATAAATTTTCATTTATTAATTACAATTATTTTTAAACTTAATAAAACCATTGTTAATGTAGGTTGTTTGTTTGAATGAAATCGAGTGCTTTTAAAAAAAAAAAAAAAAAAACATTACATTTTTGCCGATTATTTCCTGGAATTTAATTCTTGTTTTTGAATTTCATTATTGGAAGGATATTGAAATTAATTGAAATTATAACTGTAATAAAGATAATTATAACTGTAAACAAAATATTACTATTATTATTTATTTTTTATTAAAAATTAATTCAGCATTCAAATTCATTTAAAGTGACAGTAAAAAAAATGTACATTGTTTCAAAAGATATCTCATTCAAATAAATGCTGTTTTTTGATCTTTCTATTTATCAAGAATCCTGCATAAAATATATCACAGTTTCCACACAAGTATAAAGCAGCACAAATGATTTTAACATTGATAATAAAAAGAAATGTTATTAGAGCATCAAATCAGCATAACAGAATGATTTCTGAAGGATCGTGTGATAATAAAAAGAAATGTTATTAGAGCATCAAATCAGCATAACAATGATTTCTGAAGGATCATGTGACACTGAAGACTGGAGTAATGGCTGCTGAAAATTCAGCTTTGCATCAAATGAATAAATTATATTTTAAAACCTATACAAATAGAAAACAGTTATTTAAAATTGTAATGATATTTCACAATATTACAGTTTTTACTGTATTTTGTGATCAAATATTTGCAGCCTTGGTGAGCATAAGAGACTTCTTTCAAAAACATTTAAAAAATCACACTGACTGCAAACTTTTAACTATAGTGTATATATGTAATAGTTTTGTTGTTGTTGTTTTTGAAAAGCAGTTTGCCTAACATTCGATTTAATTACCAAAAACATAAATCATAAACACCACCAAGAAAATAATCAGCAATCAGTTTGTGGCTTCATTTTCATGCATATATACTTTCTTACAGAATGAAGAACAAACTGTGGTATTTTGAATTTGCCACGTCCGAGACGATCTCAGCATCTTGTAAGAAACTCAAGGAGTGTCTCACCATTGAGGTAAGAAAAAACACCTTACAAAAAATGCTCACACTCCCATCTAAGTTCAAAGAGGTTATTGATCCTTCCAGCTAGCCTTGCTCCTTCTTTCCTTGTGTTGAAAGCCCATCAAAAGGCATCAGCTTAAAAGCATGAGCACAGCGAGGGCATTAGAGTGCTAACACCTGTTATTAACCTGCTTCTGGTATTAGTCGTCTGTCAGAGCTCAAGCCAGGAACATTTCAATCTACCAGATCAGGGGCATTAATTCAAAATATGAAGCAAAGGCAATTCATTACTTAAAAATCTGCTTACGCACGTTAGATGTATTCAGCTAGAAATCATTTTGAATATGAAAAACGTAACAGAACTGACCCCAGAGCCTCTGTCTGGCCTTATCCAGTGTTGCGGGACCCAGTTGGATCTCAGTAATCTTTCTCTGGAAGGCATCGCCGTCCTCAACATTCCCAGCATGCACGGCGGCTCTAACCTGTGGGGTGAAGCCAAAAAAAGTGACCGAGCGGAGCAGGACTTGCCTGGAGTCATAGTAGACCCCGAAGTCTTAAAAGTGAGCCCACAAGGTACGTTTCCTTCAATGCAGGGAGCAACTTTTAATTCGAAGATTATCCAAAACACTCAACAGACTGTCTCCAAACAGACATGAGCGACAAACGCGTGGAGGTGGTGGGATTGGAAGGAGCCATCGAGATGGGACAGATATACACAGGGCTGAAGAGTGCAGTCCGACTCGCCAAAACATCTCAGATTATCATCAGGTGAGACAAACGCTTACCAGCAAATGGTCTTAAACAAGCTCATACAGGCACAAACCAGTCATGACATGCTCAGACATGCCTAGTCTACGTGCATTTGCATACTCATCTGTTCGCTTTTTCAAAATCCAAATATTTAAATTACATTCCATTAATTCTTTTGTCATTAAATGGGGATGGTCAATTTATTCTGTAACACTCTGTCAACCACTATTGAGTCATATAATGTGAATGTGTGCTTAGTCAGTCACCCAAGCAATTGCCCATTATATAATTCACTGGTTATTTTTGTTTCTAAAAATGTACCCAATTGTTTTATTCAAAAACGTACACTCATTTATAGGACAAAGAAGCCTTTGCCCATGCAGATTGATGGAGAACCGTGGATGCAGCCACCTTGTACTGTAAGTGTCCACCATACTGCATTTCTAAGCATTTTACTTTGATTCATCCAAGTGACTCTTTTGAATCTATTCACTAAAAAGATTCAGATTTATACACTGATTTGTTTATTGACCCTTTCTGCTGGTTATACTGTAGTAGTAATAAGCGAAAATCTTTTTGTGTGTTTTGAGTGAATCATTTGATTCATTCACTCAACTCAACCAAGTCAAGTCTTATTACACTTTGTGTCTACAAATCTACTAATAAACTCTATAAACAGTGCTTAGATACCATAAGTGTTGTTTCTAAATAATAAAAAAAAAAACAATTTAATCACCTAATTTTTAGTGAATGATAAGGATTTGTTAAAAAAATACATTTAAAATGTCATCCAAGATGTAGATTTTGTTTCTTCATCGGAACAGATTTGGAGAAATTTAGCATTACTGGTGTGAATGGGTGCCATCAGAATGAGAGTTCACACAGCTGATAAAAACAATTCAAAATTTTTCAAAATCTTGTTTCAAAACAAACACATCTACATCTTGGATGGCCTGAGGGTGTCAGTTTTCATGTACAATTTTTTAGTGAACAATTCATTTTATTTCAGTTAAACTAATAGAAACATATCAGCATTAAATGAGATTTAATTTAATGTGTTGTTTTATCTGTTTTTTTTTTTTTATTCTTCCTCAGATTCACATCACACACAAAAACCAAGCCAGTATGCTGATGGGCCCTCAAGCCAAATCTGGCTTTTTCAACCTGAAATAGAGTTTACCTGCGCTGGAGGATGATTCACTTCGCTTCGAAACTCTGTGTGCATTAACAAGGACTCTGAAGCTAATGACAGTGTAAAGTGTATGTAGATTTTGCAGAAAATCCTTAATAAGGTTATAGCTCTTACTCAAAATCCTTGTGTGTTTTTAGGAGATTATCCTTACATGAGGTACAAACTCTTCGCTAGACCATCTTAACATCAAATATGCTCTCCTTAAAGAAATGTAGTGCTCTTAAACAGTAGCTCATGCATTTTTGGCTGTGATAAACAAACTCATATCATGTGCACAGGTCATTCCAGGTAAATAGGTTGGATATTTGTTTTAAGGTTATATATACATAAAAAATATGCATCACTCCAAAGCATCTAGTGTATGAATCAAGGTTTGATGCGCAGTGACTTTGCTGTATAGGTGGTTTAATATTAGAGATAGATCTTCGCTAACTCTGCACACTGCTTTTAGTTATTCCTTTAGATTTTTTCTCAGCTACTTTCACTAATTTACTAATCATGAATGTCAGATTACTCCGGGCTAAACAATCTTTACCAGAACAATGACTAGCTTTAGCAAATTAAAATCTGAAGAGCTTTATGAGACATCTAATTTATTTGCTGTTAAAATGTAAACACCTAAAATAGTAGGTGTAATGTTTAGATAAAATATCGAAATGAAACCAACAGTATGTTAACAATTGTTATTAGGTTATTTTCATTGTATTAAGAATGTATCAAGTCAGTTGTGTAAAACTGATTTTGCAATATTTCATACATTTACACAGTTAGTAGTCCATCTATTGTATTTCCTTCAGAAAGTTCAATGGGCAAAATCCTAAAGGTTTTAGATTGCACATTTATGGCACTCTGGCAGGCTTTTTAATTTTACGTTGCTCCTGAGAATGTAGAGGATCTCTTAATTTTGTGAATTTGTCTGAATAAACATTTCGATGTTAAATGATTTGCAGTGTATCTCTTTGTTTTTGATAAAGGTTTCTTAATGCCATAATTTGCCTCAACACTCATAAGGTGTTTACAGCATAAAAGCACTAGAGGGCTCTATCAGTTTGACTAATTTTACACGAGCCTGCTCAGCCGTAGAGTTCAAGTTTCATTTTCTCATATACCATTTCTAGGTTACTGAAAGTAAGTATTTATTTAGTTAGTATATCGTAATTAATTTTTATATACTTTCTTCCAAACTCGCATGTGATAACTCATGATAACCCAAATATTAGTCATTAATAATACATATCAATATTAAAATGAGCTCAATTTTTTTTTTACCTAAAATGTTGCTACAGTTGCATCGGTATGTGAGGATAGTGGCCTAATTCTTTATTATGTCTGATTTAATCTCAAGGTTCAGTATACTTTGACCATGACATACGCTAACGATGTCGGATTCTGATTCGTGGATGAATTGTTCTTTAGAGTCGAGTCTTTTCAAAGAGTCGGTTCACAAAACGACAACGTGGTTTCATTGATTCATTGAGTCAGTGAACCGCAGAATGGTGTGGCTAAAAGTTACTTTCATATCCAAACCTGTTTTTATACAGTCTATGATCCAAACACTAGAAATATAACGAATGTACCTGAAATATGTTTGTTCAAGTTTTATCAACTCGCATACAAAACCTCTGAGTTGGCTTTTTTTTTTATTGTGCAACAATCCAAAAAAGAGAAACTAAATAAAGTTCAGGATTGACTAATATTAATGCAAATTATAATTAGCTTAAATACTACTACTACTACTACTAATAATAATAATAATAATACATTATTACAAACGTACATCGTGACGTGTTACAGTCTATGGTTAAGAATCTCTTTTCGAAACAGTTTATTAACGAACTGTTCTAAAGAACCGATTCGCTGAAATGAGTCAATCTTGCCCTCAGTGGTACAAACATTGTTGACCATGGCAGTCGAACACATAAAACTATAGGCTTAGTACTTTTTGTAAGTAACCATTGATAATAGTGTCTACTAAATAATGCTATGTATAATCCTATAACATTATTTATTTATAAATGCAAAACAGTTTCAGTGGTCTTCAATGTTGGGTCGTGCCAAAACATCGCTTCTGTGCATGACGACCAATCGCATCGCGCCAATTGTGTGGCCCCGCCCCCTTTTCAAGTATTTCCTTCACATGTGCGTTTCTAACGCGACGAGTCTGTCCGTAGATGCTGCTGCTGAAACTGAGCTAGAGTTGGGGATTATTGCACAAGTCAGAGTGCTGGCTGGTGGCGAGTGGGTGGCTTTTCACCCACACTCAGTACTTTTCATCTCTCGCTCTTCTTTCATATACTGTTGCTTTCTTATTGAGTGACACGCGGACTATGAAAAATATGACTTTCCGACGCGTAAAGAAGCTGAACTCAAACAAGCCGGACAGCGGGTCGCTGTGTCACGACAGTGGGGAGATCTACTTTACGTCTTCCAAATCGGACAGCTGTGGGACTGTGGATCGTGGACCCTCAAACTCCACTGAGGTTTATAATTATAAGACCCTCGCTTACTCTGGAGGGACCCTACCAAGGAATTTCAAAAAGGTTAGATAATTTCATTTGAAACTCGAGATCCAGTTTGCTGTATTTGACTCCTTAAAAAGTGTTTACATGTACCATGGCGAAATATTAATAAATATATTTAGTTATACATTTTCAGTACATGTGATTTTATATTTATCTACTTTTGATTCCTTTCTGGAGAAAAAAAAGTTTAAGATGATTTACTGGTCTTAGTCAACCAACCCATGATCAAAAAAGTGTTTGGGATAGGTTTAATTGCACTTTTCAGATAGTCAGGTTGGGAGACAATCTAAAACTAGATAAGACCAACAAACCATCTTAGGCTGGTTTAGGCTGTTTTTAGAGCAATATTGGCAAGTTATCACTATAGCCAGATGTTGAGTGCACATGCTTATTTAGAAAATCCTGATCCTGAATAATCGTATACCATTTTAAACTGGTTTTAGCTGGTCTCCCAAACCATGAGAGACCAGCAAACCAGTTTTTTCTTCAGCAAGGTTGAGCTGTAGTTTCCGCAGCGTATTACCGAGTTAAAATTGAACTCGCACTTAATCACATATACTAATATCAGCTACTGGAGTCAAAGCTTTAAAAGTTATATTACACATGTTTTCCTCCTTTATATCTGCCCTATGCATCAACACCTTGAGTAAATTGTTTGGTGTTGTCTGGTCTTAATTAAGCACAGAAATAACAGTCCTGTGATGAGTTTGCTTTAATTAGAACCAGCAGTTGCATGCAACACTCAAGTTTGATTAGTTTGATGGCACACAAATTGAGCTCCACCTCTCTTAATAACTTTTATATGCCACCATTATTTGATGTAACTTTTATAGGACAGTGTTTCTCAATCCTGGTCTTGGAGTAGCCTTGAACTGGACATTTTGGATGTTTCTCTTATTAACACACCTGATCCACATCATCAGCTCATTGTTTGATGCTCTGAACTGGGTATGAGACATTCCAAATGTGCAATACTCAAGTACTCCAGGATTAAGAACCACTGTTGCATGGGACTATAAGGTAGCTAGACTCAGTTAGGTAGTCAATTAGACTGATGTTCCTGATTGAATGGCTCAAGCAGTTGTCACACTTTGCTTGGCATGTAAGGAATTTCTTGACCTGCGCTCATTCACACCTGTCCATCAGTGTGCATCTGTGACCATCAGCATGTGACGGTTCCTCTGAAGAAGCTCATTTGAATGTATACGTGTGAGCAGTCGTGCAGAAATTTAGAAGCGACTACACTTGTTCATTTCTGCATGACTCTGAATCATTATTTTTCATGCAACACAGGCGATAATTCATATCATGCCACAGAAAGTAGAGTGACAAATTTCCATACAACTTTTACTACTGTTCAGTGGTAAAATAACTTATTTTATTTGTTGTTTGCATACATTTTTCACAAGGTCAAAGGTTGTATGCTAAACTTTTTTTTTTTTAGGTAGCAACCATTCATTATCAGATGATACATTTTTAACATTATATAAGCTAAACTTTATTAAAACATTTATTATTATTATTATTATTATTAGTAGTAGTAGTAGTATATTAACAATAATAAATAGAAAAGGCATTTTCATATAAATTATAAAAACTTAGTATTATCAACAGTATTTCAAATTAGTTTTCAGTTTATATATCTGAAAATAATTATCATAATGTTTACATATCTGAAAATGTTTATTTATTTTATTATACCTTTTTTTTTTATTTTTTAGATGGATAGATGCATGCATAGATAAGATAGACAATGTCTAGTCCAAAGTCTCCCACACTTCTTTCCAAATCCAAAGAGAGGCATTAATCTGCTGGTCAATTCTACAATGTACTCGGCTTTGGCAAAAGCAGTTGCTCTTGGGTTTTGACCATACAGATGTGAGACTGCTTGGTTCTGGCCCTTGGGTTTAGACACACTGAAGTGTGTTTCATGGTCACTCATGGTGTAAAGTGTTTCCTGGTGTCTTTGGACCACCCACACGGAGGTCTGACTCCACCGACTCTTTTGAGTAACTGTAAACAGCTCATATGTGTCCCTGCTGAATTCTGGGCCTGCTCTTTTACAGTCCACCTCCTGTGTGGCCAGCCGAGCCATTTTATGGATCCTGACCAAGTGTCCGGGGCAGTGAAGCCCCCTCCAGATTGTCCATCTATAACCTTTGTGGTGTGGAACTGAATTTACTGCAGAATTGAAAAGGCCTGAGTGACCAGGGGTCAGTGCATTTGTGTTGGTGACTGTGTAATGAAATGGCTTTTGAAATTCAAATAGGTCTGATATGATCTCAGTATTTCCCGGTAACTGTCAGGTGACAATCAAAACTACATCTAGTATGTGTTATGAGTATGACACTGATATTCTTAAAGGGATATCTCACCCAGAAACGACAATACTGTAATTTATTTACCCTTTACTCTTCTTCTATCTCAGTGTTTTGTTTTAGTTTGTTTTCGGTTAGTTTTCATTTTAATGTTTTGTTTTAGTATTTAGTTTTATGTTTTAGTTTTTTGTTTTGTTGTAGTTTCGGTTCTCTGTTTTCGTTTAATGTTTTTATCCATGCATTGAAAGTCAATGAAATCCAATGTTTTGTCATTGAGGGTGAGTTTTTTAGATGGATAGATGCATGCATAGATAAGATAGACAATGTCTAGTCCAAAGTCTCCCACACTTCTTTCCAAATCCAAAGAGAGGCATTAATCTGCTGGTCAATTCTACAATGTACTCGGCTTTGGCAAAAGCAGTTGCTCTTGGGTTTTGACCATACAGATGTGAGACTGCTTGGTTCTGGCCCTTGGGTTTAGACACACTGAAGTGTGTTTCATGGTCACTCATGGTGTAAAGTGTTTCCTGGTGTCTTTGGACCACCCACACGGAGGTCTGACTCCACCGACTCTTTTGAGTAACTGTAAACAGCTCATATGTGTCCCTGCTGAATTCTGGGCCTGCTCTTTTACAGTCCACCTCCTGTGTGGCCAGCCGAGCCATTTTATGGATCCTGACCAAGTGTCCGGGGCAGTGAAGCCCCCTCCAGATTGTCCATCTATAACCTTTGTGGTGTGGAACTGAATTTACTGCAGAATTGAAAAGGCCTGAGTGACCAGGGGTCAGTGCATTTGTGTTGGTGACTGTGTAATGAAATGGCTTTTGAAATTCAAATAGGTCTGATATGATCTCAGTATTTCCCGGTAACTGTCAGGTGACAATCAAAACTACATCTAGTATGTGTTATGAGTATGACACTGATATTCTTAAAGGGATATCTCACCCAGAAACGACAATACTGTAATTTATTTACCCTTTACTCTTCTATCTCAGTGTTTTGTTTTAGTTTGTTTTCGGTTAGTTTTCATTTTAATGTTTTGTTTTAGTATTTAGTTTTATGTTTTAGTTTTTTGTTTTGTTGTAGTTTCGGTTCTCTGTTTTCGTTTAATGTTTTTATCCATGCATTGAAAGTCAATGAAATCCAATGTTTTGTCATTGAGGGTGAGTAGGCTAAATGATGAGTGTTTTCATTTTTGGGTGGACTATCCCTTTAAGACAATGTTGCTGTGTACAAATAGAAGTCTTTTAGATGGTGGGAAAAATATTAAAATTATATGAATTATGGCAGAATGACCGCAATTTTTGCCATTTTATGGTCAAACACAATGGCTCCTTGACAGCTGGTTTACTCAAAACTAGCCTGCAACATTTAAATGTTGTATTTTAATTTGCGGAAATTAAACGAAGCTTACTCGCAGTGGAGTACTACACGGCAAGCTTTTGGATTGTAGGGCAGGGCAGGTTTATGAACAGCTCTCTGTATCTGGACTCCTACACTTTGCGTGAACGCCGGACCACAACAGGGTATTGTGCGGCCGAGAACTTTGCTACCCCATCCAACTGGCCCAGAGGGACCCTCTTAGTTACATGGAAATAAATGAAGTCTTTGAGGGGGACCCTACGACAATTCTCAAAGTGTATGAAAATAAAGAAAGGCAACGTTTTACTAGCTTTGGAGGGTTCGTGCACAAAGTCCACTTTGTGGGAAGCTGAAGTTGTTGGGGTTGAGGTACAGCCCGATTGAATGGGCGTCTGTAAGAGCGGGCGTAATATGGATGAATTCTTATTTCCGTTGCGCAGTTTGGGTTGGGTTTGCAACGTTATCGGCCAGATCATCAGTGCTGTTATAACGCATGACAGAACTTGTATTCTCCAACCTTGGCAGCATTTTAGATCTCATTGTGATAATTTCAGAGACGCTTACAGCGATAAGTTTACCTAGTCTGGAGATAAAATAAGATCAGAAACCAAACCAGAGAAAACTGCGATAGAAACAGTTAAGTGAAAGAGGCAGGCAGACATGCATTTCAAGTTATATCTGCGCTTGTCGTCCGAACTGTTAAACGGCATGAAATGAACACGTTGCACAGCTTACAACTCAGACTTTGGGAAAATACCTGTTGATCAGGAGGGGATTTCTAAGTGCACAAGGGCAGATATGATGTGGCCAAAATTCACAGACACTCATTTTATTCCTCTCATGTTTTCTTTCTATTTTTCCCTTCATCTCTCTTCATCTTGCTAAACAGAATGGTGGGCTGCAAAAGTGGAAGCCCCTTTCACACTCTCCAGAACCACAAAGGTAAGATTGCCACTGCTTGTTCTCCACCTACACAGATTTGATTGGTGTTTGCATGCGTCATTGTTACTTCCTTAAAAAACATTCTATTTATTGTGACAGTGATGAAAACGTCAGACCCTAGTCATTCACGCTTTTTCCAAGGTGTCATGGAATAATTTATTTATATAGATTTATATAAAATGGCCTTTTTGGAGGACAGAATGATTGCAGTGAGGCCTGAATGAGTCTGTGAATAAAAAGGGAGTGCGATTAGGATCGGCCAGATGGTCAGATACGATCTTTCTTCACTGTATGCATCTCTTTGTTTAGTATATGTGTATGCATAATTCATGATTGCCTAATGATGTATGTGTGCTTTCAGAAACACAGGACTCTTGTCATGTCATGGTATTCATAATAGACACGTTTGAATCCCGAGATAGCTCAATTGACTACAGTAGTCAACATTTGAAGTGGATCAAAAAAGTTCATCAAAGACAAGAAAGCATTTTGGTTTTAGGACAACTTTGATGAAAGGTTTTGATCCACTTCAAATGTTGACTAGTGTAGACAACTACTATTATCCCAACAGAAGTCATCTCCAGTTCAAGATGCACCTATGTGATAGTCATTCATGCCCTGAGGCCGTTGTAATTGAGAACTGTAAAAACACAGACTGTATAACAGTATGAAACCGAAAGCTCACTGAAAACATAGTTTGAAAATGAGCTGTTCTTCAGATGTCACACCCAGAATCTTTTTTTACTTTTTGATCTTTTTCAAACACTTCCCATTACGCCACACAGATGTATCCTCCAAACAGCAGTATCATGCGGTTGATATGCGTTTCCTGTGTTTCTTTCATCATCCATGTTCCTGTAAGCATTGACCATCAGTCAAGGTCATAGATTGAGACAAAACCATTCAGAACGACACTTTACTAAGACAGTCTCTGTGCAGCTGCCCTTTTTTTGATCATATTAACAGAATACCCTCAATTTTGGTTTTTCCTTTCAGGAAAACAGTGATCCTGATGAAGAAAGAGGAGGATGCCTTTGGCTTTGAGATCCAGGTAAGAGGGATTTAAAACTCTTTGAATTCATTCAAGGTGTTTGAAGTGGTGGTAAATAATGGGAAAACCTTTCTAAGGTGGCTTGTACATGTGGGTGAGCCGCTCATAATTAAATCAAAGTAAGACTTTGGATGAAGGATCCAGTCATGGTTAAATAGCGGTTATGTTTAGTCGATGACACCAGTGTTTATTTGACCTCATTTTGACAGAAACCAGTATTAGCTAAGATTTATCCATGACATGTGTAATCCAGTTGTAGTTGTGACATAATCAAAAATCCCTCTTAGTATGAGAACCTGCTTTTTTTTTTTCTCTGTAATTTGTTCTTCACAGTGTATACTTTATCAAAGTCTGGTTCCTCAATGTGGAACCGATTATGAACTCTGCATTTGTAATTATTTATCCCTGTTCAAAGCAGTATGACATTTGTTTTGACATATGTACCAGATAGCTAGTTTATATTTAGTAATGTATAATAGTTCAGATGCAGGATGGAGGACCCCTCCTTTCCTGCCTTGTCCTCTAGTACAGGACATGACATCAAGTTTCTGTCACATGAGAGGCAACATATCAAGAAACTAATTGTTTTCTAGGATGGCGTGCTGTAGACATTGTTTTCGGAGTCTCTTAGCAGCGGGGATACGGTTGGCCTTATCCACTATGTAAATATGTCTGTACTTTGCATCTCCTGAGGCGCTCAGTGTCTCAGAGATTCGCGTAAGCGGTTGGAGTGTGTGGGAAGAGGAAGGAAACAGATGATTCCAAACATTTGAAACTACTTTACAAATTATTCACGTTTCAGAGATGTTTGTAAAATTGCATGTTTTTTGAGTGTTTATTGGGAGTTCAGGCCATACAATATTGCAATGGGTATTTAACACTATAGAGGTTTTTCTTAAAGGGACAGTTAACCCGAAAAGAGTTTCAATTTTCTCACCCTCATAATATTCGAAACCATATGACTTTTTCTGTCTTTTTAGTTTAATTTAAATTTTAATTGATCAAGCAAGATTTTTCATTGAATATCCACTGAAATTGCTGTATGTTCCTAACACAAACTTGACTGAAGGAATGGCTTTAGAAGGTTTACAATATAGCACACAAGTAATATTAGGGCCTTTCGCACTTTTTGGCGTTTTCGCACCGCCGGAACTGGGTGCGATTTTAGAACCGGACTGCCTTTTTCGAGAACCAAATTAGCTCCTACTCCGGAGCAGGGTCTAACCAGCACGACTGGTACTAATCGTGACATAAGTAGACATTGATTGGCCAAACGTGTATGAAAACGCCCTCCCCCGCCATGATTTAAAACACCGTGTAAACATACTGTAAACATTGTGTCAACTTATTTCGCAAGTATGGAGAACAGCGATAGATGGACGGACGCTGAAGTGCAGGCACTTGTAGCAAATGTAGCACTGCCAGTTGTCGTTGGAGATTCTTAGTCCTCCTTTCCGTTCTTTCAATCGCTTTACGTATACGTCGACTTTCCATGTCCATTATTGTGAAACCCACGAGACACAACAAAAACACAGCTCCGATCACAGCGTCCTCCATCCTCCTGTTGTTAATGTTCTTCTTCTTTGTTTCTGTTGTTGAACGCCGCGCACAAATGACGTCGCTGTCGACCGGCTTACATCACTTCCTAGTACACACTGTCGGTGCGAATGCAACCCTTTAAATAGTACTGGGAAATAGTTCCCGCAAAATCGTCCCAGTACTTTAGTACTGTACATTTAGTTCTGGAACCAAAGCGGTGCGAAAGGCCCTTATG